CATATACACACACATACACACATACAAACACACACATAAAAACGCACACACATACACACACGCACGCATGCATACACGCGCGCGTGCACACACACACACACACATACACACTCACTCACACACACACACACATACACACACACGCACATACACACACACATACACACACACATACACATACACGCACACACACATACACACACACACATACTCTCAAAGTTAGAGAACAACGGAATGGATGAACTAGCAAAGTGTTGGATACAAATAGGAAACCCTAGCATCTGCACCCTCTAGAATGCAACTTACTACAGCCTATAACTATTATATTTGACACACCCCCATAGGCTAAGTGAGGGGCATCAAAACAAGCAAGGCAGACAAACGGTCACAAGACCAGTCAAGACAAGAAGCAAGGCAAGCTCAGGGTGGATCTCAAGGACACCACACAAATTCCGAGCACAAGCAATCGGCCACAAGGCCACTTCAAGTGTTCACTATGATATATATATAGGAAAACACAACAAGCAGAACAAGTAACAAGTCTACAGCAACCGAGGGCCTACCTCAACAAGCAAACTCACCCCCGACGGATAGAGGACGATAGGGGGGAGCTGGCACCATACGGGTGGTGTAGTCAAGGCGACTAACGGCATCAAACTCAGCGACAGCTGCAGTGAGAGCCGAGACAGACGACGGAGAGAAACGAGAGTCGGTGACAAGAGTGGCGAGGACACGAGGGACAACAGGACAACCGGCACGCTAGTAGTCAGTGACGGGAGTAGGGGGGGAAGGGAGAGAGGACGGAGGAGGAGAGGGGAGAACGGACTCAGAAGGAGGACGACGAAGAGACGAACAAAGGAGGGCCGTGCGGAGGTCGGGAACGGGAGACGAGTGACGGGCACGCGGAGGATAGGGACGGACACGAGAGTGTAGGACAACAGGTGGAGGAGACTGCGGTGGAAGAGAAGACCAGACCGCCAGACTGGCGTCAGGAGGAGGAAACGTGGGACCCAACGCTGGAGGGGACGGAGTGTGAACTGGAGCAGAGGAGGGAAGACCAAGGGCCCGAAGGCCACTCACGGGTGGGAACAACTGCCGCTCTAGAGGGAGCTGCTGCGGTCGCAGCTGCGGCGGCGATGTCTGCTGCTACTGCTGCGGCGGTTGCTGCTGCTGCGGCGGCTGCTGCTGCTGCGGCGGCTGCTGCTGCTGGTGTTGCTGTTGGTGCCGCTCCAGCAGGTCCAACCGCCACAACTCCTGCTGCTCCCTCTCCAATAGCACCTGCTCCTCACGCTCACGCCGACGGGCCGCCTAGAGACGCGTGTCGTGGCGGTGGGGAGGCGGAGTGGACTCCGCAGAACCAGTGTCTCCAGCTCCAATCTCCTCAGAACCAGCACCTCCAGTGCCAGTGCCTCCAGCACCAGCACCCCCAGAACCAGCACCTCCAGTGCCAGCGCCTCCAGCACCGGCACCCCCAGAACCAGCACCTCCAGTGCCAGGACCTCCAACTCCAGCACCCCCAGAACTAGCACCTCCAGTGCCAGCACCTCCAACTCCAGCACCCCCAGAGCTAGCACCTCCAGTGCCAGCACCTCCAGCTCCAGCACCCCCAGAGCTAGCGTCTCCGCGCCAGCACCTCCAGCTCTAGCACCAACCGAGTCCACAGTTACTTGTCGCGGAAGTGTCAAAAGCTGTTGCGGGGACTGTGAGGAGGACTGCGGGGAGGGAGACGCTACCTGGCGCGCGACTGAGGGTAGAGGGGTAGCGTGGGACACACCAGACGGGGCAGGACCAGGGGGGGGCGGGGGTACTAGAGGAGCGGGAGCAGGACGAGGAGAGGGTGCGAGGAAGAGGAGGGGAAGGGGTACCAGGAGACCTCGACAAGGGTATCGGGTGTAGTAGGACATGGACTCGTCAAACCGGAAGTCTCGGGAGTCTAGGAACTGGTGGAGGGGAGGGTGGTTAAAGGACTAGTCGGCAGAGTCCACCGGGAAACCAAGCAAGACACAGGGGATGGCGCGTGCCGAGAGCTTGTCTGCGGAGGTGTCGTGAACAAGCGCAGCCCCAGGCACGAAAGACCGACCCAACACCAGGGGACCCGGTTTAAAGACTGGTCGGTGAAGCCTCGGGCCGTGAGATGCGCGGCTGGAGGTTCAGTTGGTGTGCGGCGTAGCAAACCGCATAGGGCCACAGAAAATGGGGCACACGGGCATGGATCATGGACGTGCGAGCAATGTCTATGACCAAGCCAATGCGGCGCTCAGCAATCCCATTCTGCTGCGGGGACTCGGAAACCGTCCAGGACTGTACGATGCCCTGTTCACCGCAGAATCCGGCAAGAACACTGGAGCGAAACTCGCCCCCACGGTCAGAGTGTAGACAACTGACACGATGACCACGAGTGCCCTCAGTGGCCAGAAGCCACCGGATCAGCATTGGAGTCACCTCGGACTTCTTCGCGAGAGGGAACACTGTGGTGTACCTGGAGAAGTTGTCGACGACCACTAGAAAGTAACGCTCCCTTCCAGAACCCTCGTCAGGGCAGGGCCCCAGACGTCCAAGTAGAGGGTCTCGAAGGGAGCAGTGGCCGGACGAAGGGAGGAGGAGTGAGGAGTGGCACGTAAGCAATCGGCAACGCAAGGAGTGCAAGGGGGAGCAGGGAAGGTGGGGAGCGACGGAAAGGTGCGTGGGAGACTGGTGACAAGCCTGTGAGTGGTCATCCCGCGGAGGCGGGGGAGCGACGGGTGGCCAAGGCGGTGGTGCCACAAGACGGTCCGGTGGGTGAGGGACCGACAGGAGCAGGACGCAGTGTCTGGGCTAGACAGCGCAACCTGACTAGACGGTGCAACTGGACAAGACACGACCACCTGGCTAAACACAGCAACCGGACTGGACACCTGGACTGGAGGGGACGCAACGACCTGAGCGGAGGACGCAACCGAGGAGCGCTCGGTGTGGAGAACGTAGAGACCGGAGCAGGGCTCCCTGGTGAACGTGGCCATACTAGCACCTGTGGCAGTGTCTGTACAGACCGCAGTCCTCCCACCCCCCACAAAGGTAACCGTGATCCCCCTGTCCTGGAGGTAACCAACACCCACCAAGTTCCGAGTGAACGAGGGGATGTGGAGGCCACGCAGGACACCAAAGGGGACCACAGGACACGGGAGGGTAGTGGAGCTACGCGCAACGGCTGGTCCTGGGGTAGGATCAGCCAGAGCCACCGAAACAGGAGTGAGGAGAGGCGTGAGGGTCGTGTGGTCGCGGAAGAAGCACTGAGACGCACCAGAGTCCAGCGTGAAGGATAAGGACGCCTCAGCCGGAGGGTCACTTGTCCTAGTGGCTACACAAGCACCTAGAGCAGCAACATAAGCACCTAGACTAGAAAGGCACAAGTCTACACTAGTAGGAGGCAAGCTAGCTAATCTACGAACACGTGAGCATGCAGATCCATCAGCACTATAGTCAACATTAGCATACAAAGCATGCTGACGAGCATTGTCCATGGACATATCAAATACATCAATCTTACGGGCTAACAGGCGAGCCCAGTGAGGCGTGGTCGTCGTAGGGCCCCAACGGGCACGGTAGAGGTTGTCGAGGCGGCGAAAGCACCGCGCGGCAGAGTGGTCGTCACAACCGCAGAGAGAGGGGCTGCCAGGTCCGATGAGGCACCAGTGGGTGCAGGGGCCAGTGTCACGGCGAGGGGGGCGAGGGGCCCAGCTGGAAGTGCCGCCACTGCAGCCGATGCTCCCTGGTCCTCCCGGACCCCACTGCGGCGGGGGACCCCAGTGCTGCTGCGGACCCCACTGCAGTGGGGGCCCCCACTGCTGGAACTGCTGCGGTGCCTGCAACTGTTGGGGTCCCTGCTGCTGCTGCTGTCCCTGCTGTGGCTGGTGCTGCTGCGACTGTTGCTGCTGGGGTCCAACACCCCCACCGGTTGGGCCACCGCCAGAGGGCGGGCCTGTCTGTCCTGCACCTACTCCAAGGCCCCCTCCACCTGGTGCACCTCCGCCGCCGCCGCCGCCACCGCCTCCACCACCGCCGCTCCCACCTCCACCTCCACCGCCACCTCCACCGCCGCCTCCACCGCCTCCACTGCCCCCCTTCCCGCCCTTCTTGCCACACTTGCCCTGTTTCTGCCAGTCTGCGATAGAAACCGACACAGCAGTAGAAGCGCGGGTAGCAGTGAAAGTGGGAAGCTGAGGGGCGGCACACCCCGCAAAGAGACGGGGGGGCACCGCGTCTGTGGCGGAGGCAACGATGAGGTGGCTACTCTCGATCGTCCTGAGAGTGGTCTCAAGGAGATCGATAGTGAGCTCAGTGGGGTGCTTTTGGAGAAGCGCGTCGCGAGCAGTGGCAAGGCGGTCAGGGAGGCGGGTGACGGAATGGATGAACTAGCTAAGTGTTGGATACAAATAGGAAACCCTAGCATCTGTACCCTCTAGAATGCAACTCACTACAGCCTATAACCATTTTATTTGACACATACACACACACAGACACAGACACACATATATACACACACACACACACACACACACACACACACACACACTATTGGCCCTTACGAGCCTCTATCAAGGGAGAATATGGTAGCGTGAGTGGCCTTATTGTTTGCGGGTGCACAAAACTTGTTTGGAATGTTCATATATTTTTTTCCCTACACTAGTACTATAAGGTTGCTATGGAAAAGCCTGTAAAAAGTGGGTACCTACATTTTCCTTAAATTTTGTATGAATTTGGACCTTCCCTTTTGTTGTGTGCGGTCAAGACACTGGAAAAACAACACGCCAATACCTTTGTATTGTGTTGGAAAGATACCTGTGCCTTGGGATAGTGTATCGGACTCTTTGGGTGGTAACGATTAGCCTTCCCTCATACCTTTGCCAACGATACAAAAAGCACAAAAATATGGCACCTCGCAGCACCCATCACAGCTGCCGCACAGAACCTCGTTTTCCAGAGTAAAAAAGCTAAACCAAGCAGCCAGAGCTACTGTGCTCCTAAGCTGCATCATCCAGTGCAGCACCTGCTGCTGGCACACTTTCTACAGTGACCCCCTTTGAAGCCACACCCTCCACAGTCACACCCTCCACAATTATAACCTCCACAGTCACACCCTCCGCAGTCACACCCTCCGCAGCCACACCCTCCACAGTCACTCCCTCCACAGTCATTCTCTCCAAGGTCATGCCCTCCACGCCCTCCACAGTTACACCCTCCACAGTCATACCCTCCACAGTCATACCCTCCACAGTCACACCCTCTACAGTCACACCCTCTAGAGTCAACCCGTCAAGCGACACTAGGTCCTCCAGCATCCAAGCATCCAGCCCAGCATTGCCTGACTCTGCAGATGGAGCAGCAGAAAACTCCTCGATGTGACTCGTCACTGCATCCCACTTCTCTCCATCCCCTCGCACCCCTTCCGATCCTTCCTTCCTGAACTTCTCCTCACTCTCCTCTTCCCTCCTGGCCGCCCTGCCAGCTTCCTGTCCCCGGCACACCCAATGCCATCTGAACATGGCAGCATCTTCTCAGGCCGAACATTCTGAAATCCATTTAAAAAGCCATTTGGGAACTCAAGCTCGTTCCCGATCAGCTCTGCCCGATCATCCTCTCCTCCTGCAACCAGTTCCTCTTCAAGAGCATCCCCAATCAGCACTGCCAGGTTGCTTGCTCCTGCCGTGACCCGCGTCTCTTCCAGGGCATTCCGAAGAAAAAAGGGCCCATGTGTGACCTCTGGAGCAGCAGGGGCATTCCCAATCAGCGCTGCTAGATCGCTTGCTCCTGCTGCGACCCATGTCTCTTCCAGAGCATTCCGGAGCACCCAAGGCTCTCCCTCTGTGATTTCCCGAGCATCCCCAATCAGCACTGGCGGTTTGCTTGCTCCTGCCAAAATCCATGACCCTTCCTGAGAATCCATTGGCAGGAGAGGCTCTCCACAGCAATTTCTGGAGCATTAAGGGCATCCCGGATCAATGCTGCTAGAAAATGCTTTTCGCGTCTGAACATCATCATCCTCTGCAGCACCTGCTCTCAGACCCTCTGCAAGTGCACCCTCTGCTGTCACAGCTGTTAAAGTCACACCCTTTGGAGCCACACCCTTCATATTCACACCTTCCACAGTCACACCCTCCACAGTCATAACCTGCAGTCATCCATCAAGCGGCATTATGTCCTCCAGTATCCAAGTGTCCATCCCATCATTGCCTGACTCAGAAGAAGCAGTAGCAGCAACCTCCTGCATGTGACTCAGCACCACATCCCAATCCTCTGCATCCCCTTGCATCCCTTCCTCTCCTTCCTTCCTGGACTTCTCCCCACGCTCCCCTTCCTCCCATGTCTCTCCAGACTGCCCTGCCAGCTTCCTGTCCCCAGCACACCCAAAGCCATCTGGTCGCAGCTCATGCTCGCCTTTGATCAGCTCTGCCCGATCATCTTCTCCTCCTGCGACCACTGCTTCTTCTCCTCCAATCAGCGCTGCCAGATTTCTTGCTCCTCCCACGGCCCGTGTCTCTTCCAGGGCATTCCCGAGCACCAAACGCTCCGCCTCTGTGATTCCCAGAGCATCCCCAATCACCACTGCCATATTGCTTGCTCCTCCTGCTTCCGGTTCCTCTTCCAGATCATCCCCGAGAAGCAAACGCTCACCATCTGCCATCACCGAACAATCGGGGGTATTCCCAATCAGCACTGCCATATTGCTTGCTCCACCCACGAACCGTGTCTCTTTCAGAGAATTCCCATGCAGCAACGGCTCTCCATCTGCAATTTCTGGAGCATTAAGGGCATCCCCAGTCAACACCGCCAGATCTCCTGCTCTCCCCATCACCAATCCCTGCTCTTGCAGCAAACGCCTTCCACGTGCAATCTCCGGAGCTACAAGCTGCGAGCCACATTCAAGGGCTGCAAGCTGCGAGCCAAGAGCCGTGATCTTATAGGTGGCAGGAGAAGGGTAAGGTGGTTCTGCAAATGCACGTGCCCATGCCGCTCTGTTGGAATACCCTGCAGCCGCACATGCACTCTCTCTTGAGTCGAGAGCCGTCATGTATGTGTTCCCCACATTTGCACGCGCACTTTCGCCTGAAATCAAATTCATGAAACATCCACGAGAATAATAATCCTCATCCTCCCTTCCATCCTCCCCTCCATCATTGTCCTCCCCACTCCCCTCCGCACTCTTCTCCTCAGCTTCTTCTTTGTCGTGCTCTTGATCCCGCTTCTCCTGCTCCTTCCCATCCACACTCCTCGCAGAAACCAGCTCCCCTTTCGATTCTGATCCATTCATGCTGACATTGCAAGACCCTTCCCATACGGGTGCATTATTTTTAGGGCATGAGGATCCTTCCCCACCCTCACCACCATGGCACATCCCACCCACATTTTCATCATTCGTATTACCAACAGCAGAATAAAAAACCCCACGTACATCCACAGCTCCTTTTGAGGGTCTTCTCCTTAAGGCCCTCTCCCTGTCATAATCCCTCTCTCCACCACTGCCCGCCTGCTCCTCGGGCAGCGGAAAATTCGTCTTTGCGCGGGGCCCGCGGAGCTCCCGGGCAGCTTGATCGAATGCACGGGCAGCAGCTTCAGGAGTGGAAAATGTTCCGAGCCACTTGCGCACATTGTTAGCTGTGTCCTCTATTTCTGCCACCCACTGGCCTGCCTTTCTCTGCCGCACTCCGCGATATTTGGGGCAAGAAGTAGAGAGAGGTGAGGATTTGCGTTTCTGCTGGTTACATTGCTGCTGATGCTGGGATTGCTGTCGCTGCTGCTGCTGCTGCTGCTGCTGCTGCTGCTGCTGCTGCTGCTGCTGCTGCTGCTGCTGCTGCTGCTGCTGCTGCTGCTGCTGCTGCTGCTGCTGCTGCTGCTGCTGCTGCTGCTGCTGCTGCTGCTGCTGCTGCTGCTGCTGCTGCTGCTGCTGCTGCTGCTGCTGCTGCTGCTGCTGCTGGGGTTTCTGGTCTTGCGCCTCCAATGCAGTCTGTTCATCCGCTGCTGCTGCTGCTGCTGCCTCAGTTGGTGCTTTTTTTTCAGTTCCCTGTGAGAGACGTGATCTTCCTCTATGAGTGTTGGCAGGTGTGTTGAAAACACATCTCAGCGATCTGCGCCGTCCATTTTGTCTGCGTCTCTCCTGCGGCCAATCTACTGAAAATTGGACTCGATTCTGAGTGGTACTACTAGTAGCGGCAACTGGTGGCACCTGTGGCCTCAAGATTCTTTCCACACGGGCAATGGTCAGTAGTAACTCCGTTTCCAGCCCATGAGTCTGGTTTCCTTGCCCAGTAAACTGCCCGTTATCAGCCTGGCGGCAGGAGTCGAACCCAGGACCTCCAAGCGGAGCAGACGAGGTGGGATTGGGGCTATTGTGAGCAGCTGGATGTACGGCGGACGGCTGGCCGTCAAGTTGACGGTTTCCATCTGCTTTTTGCAGCCTGTCCGCCAAAAGGTGCGTGAGAAGATTCGAGAGCGCGAGGAACGCTTGTTTGAGAGCAACATTAAATCCTAAATCGGAATCGGATCCGTTGCAAAGGCTCTGCACGTCCGCATCACTTTTTCCCCCCAGCCGCCTCGCCGAAGTGAGATCTTTCAGCTCATGCGAGGAGGATTCCTCGCCGGAATGTTCTCCTCTCGCTGGGTGAATAACGTCCATACGTTAACTCTGGAGTTCACTGTAACGCGCCAATGGCACTCAATTGAATCGAAGCTTTGAAGAATGGAGAGGGGAGGGGACACGAGCACTATTCGGGAGTAACTACACGTATGAAAGTCTCTGAGGAAACCAGCAGCAGCCTGAAGACGCACCCACTTCAAGACTATATCTGGAAAGTTTTCTCAATCAACTTTTCGATGTGGATAGGTTCCGGGGCCACTGTCGCTCTTTGGAGTGCCCCAATATTTCGTTATCCCTGAAAACCCTACCCAGCAATCTCATATCCTGAACGCTCTATACCGTGAGCCACCTCATTCGACCGCATTCCAGACTAACCGAACCTTCTAGGCTGCGTTGAAAATGGGTGCACCACGATGATCTTCGTAGTGCTGGGACATGCTGGGAATGTGTTGTATGCGACTTCATTTTCTAGGAAGAGTTGACGGCGACCTGGCGCTTGTAACTCTCTCTACTGGTACACCCTGTTTCTCGCTACACTGAACTGTGCCGAACAGGTGCAAAACCTTGCTATCTTCGATTTGCCTAATTGAACCATACTAAAACAAAAATGAACCACTGTGAACCATGCTTTTCCCATCTTGACTTCATTATAACCGAATTCACAAATGGCGAGAAAGAGGGTGTAGTATCTTGTGTTGCGCTCAACAGACTCTGTTGATGCGTGGACTTTGAATCGGGTCCACGATAACAGCAAGATTCTAGCGGTCAGCAGGGTTTGTTTCAAAAAGCTCAACTGGAATACGACTAGTCTTCTTGTTGGAATATTGGAATACAATGGGATATGAGGACTCTGAATAATTTAGGTACTAGATTCCGCTTGAGGATTGTTTTAGATTGCGCTCAAATTGAGCAGGGCAAAATGAAAAGGGTGCTTCTTGATAGGGCTGCCTCTGATTTTGCGAGCGAGTCGCACAATGCTTGCTGTAAAGCGCAGTCCCGCACAACGCCAAAAACTATGTCACATGCCCATTCTGCATGGCGATTCGTTGAGCCGTGCACGCCGTGCCAGGCTGTACACAGTATGGGCTTCAAAGGTCAACCATCAGCTGTTGACGGAAGTCAGCGATCTCTTCACCCAATGGAGAGCATGATGTTTTTTGGCATGTGCAAAAGCCTCGATTGGCTGGTGACTTGGGTAAGGAGAGAAAGGGTCCTTTTGGTTCATGTTGCGGTGCGGAGTTTTTTTCCTTTTTTGGGGGGGGGTCAACTCGTCGTTCTTTCGTACAGGCCAACGAGAGGTGGTACGACTCCCGTCATCATCGACACTGCAGGTGTGCCCGTAAATGGACATCGTCAACCCTCCCAGAAACTGTCAACGACTCTACAATACTGTACATCAAGCCTTCTCTGGGCACGCTTAGGGTCAATCAACGGCGCTCGTTTGAATACACCTATTCAATCCCTGCCTACTTCAATCCCTGCCAATTTCAACCCCTTCGTCCTTACGCGGGGCTTCAGGGTGAATGCGGCTCGACAAGGTGGGGTGTATGACGCGTCAGTTGCACAGTGTGCCAGACTACTTTACACCCTGACGAGCTGACGCGTCAGGTTGCCCAGCTGAAATTTTGGAGGGTGAAGTGTACCCAGCACATATTTCGTGAGGTGTTGATAGGGCGAAATCCAAACCCCTGGGGGTGCAGTCGACGTGGCATACATTTCCAGCCCCAATGCTTTGCGCCACTGAATTCCAGTCAGCAGCGCATGTCCAGGCTGACTAGGCCTGAAAATATCATGGGGGAACTGCTTTGTTCCCTCCAATTTCAACAAGGGGCAAAACGACAAACCCTTGCTCCCGTTGTGCGGGTGTTGAAATTGGTGAGGGACCACCCAAAACCCATGTAGGGGGCCTAGTGCGCACAAATCAAACTTCTGTGCATGATAAATTTTATGAAACTGTTACGGGTGCAATTGAAAGAGTACAAATTGTGAGCTAATGTTATGAGTTGTACTAAGAAGAGAGTGCGGAAGACTTATAAAAAGGATGAGAACTACAGAATGACAAGAATGATAAAGAAGCAAGCATTTATAGGGTCGAAACCGTGGTAGGCGAGGACCTCGGGACGTGGATGGGCTGGGAGTGTCGCGATTGGTGCGGGGCGACTCGGAAGTGGTTCGGGCCGAAGTGTAGGCCGAACCCAAACTGACGCGAACAGTTCGGGCTGTCCTTGCTAGGAGTAGCCTCTACAGTAATGAATTCACATTCATTACACTCTCCCACCTTCTAGATAAGGTGCCCTTATACGTAGGCGAGTCTTGCAGTAGCGTGAAAACTGCAGATCTCGGTTGTGTTGGGCTGAGTGCCCCATGAGATCTTTGGTAGGGTTAATCTCTGGGTAGAATGATGTAGTAGCGGAAGCGTTAACGAAGAGATTCTGAACCACCTTGCGCTAGTATGTGAGGGCAAAGTAAGTTAATTAAAACAAGGAGATACAAGATTTTATATATGATTACAAGGAATACGAAGAGATACGAATGATAAATGTTTTACTATTGGCTGTTGCGGTTCGATACAGTGCGACTCGGGCAACTGCTCAATATCGAGTCAGTTGTGTGTCCTTGCTGTCGCGCTGCATTTGTCAAGTCAAAGGTCGCTGACCTTTGACCTTCGCGTAACCTCTAGCTGTTCCTTCAACTTCCGAGGGTTGACTCGCTGGTGCCTCGATATGCGTTGCTTCACTTGTGTCTTTAGTGTTTCGACACGACAGAGGCGCTTAGGACCGATTGTTTCCAACACTCCCCTTCGCTTCTGGAGTGTCGCTGACGTGGCTCTGTCCAGTCAGCAGCATGCAATATTCGAATTTCTGCTTTCCGAGCTTCTTGGTCAGGTAGTCAGCTGCCATTTCGGACGTGGGGCGGTATGACAGCTCGAGCCTTCCCTTCTTGATCTCGTCCTTCACGAAGAAGTATCGCGGGGCGATGTGTTCCGTCCTGTTCACAAAACCGTTCTTGTTGGCGATGCGAATTGCCGACTGGTTTTCGCATATCAGTGT